GATGGTGATGATGATGATGATGATGTTGATGATGAATGATGATGATGTTGATGATGAATGATGATGATGTTGATGATGATGATGAGGATGATGGAGGTAATAACATCACAATGTATGTGAGATGATGATGATTGAGGTAATGGCATCACAATGTTGGCGAGTGAGTGGACGTTTATGTTGTTGTTGTTTTATATATCAATAAAACTTGTGAAAAAAAAATAAAATAAATATATATATATTGGAACCTCGGCCTGGCAATTTATATATATATATATATATATTTAGTCCGATCCTGCCCCGTTCCTGTAATTGCAATTCTTTTATCAAATATACCTTATACCCGATAAGGATAATTAAATATATACAATAAATATATATAAATAAGTCCGATCCTGCCCCGTTTCTGTCCGTTCCTGTAAATCGTCGACCGTTCTTGCCCGATACATATCAATACAATACTTTTTAATTCGTTGCAATCCTTTTATCAAATGACGTATCTTGTACCTGATAAAAAAGATATAATAATATAAATATATATATAATTTAGTCCGATTCTGCCCCGATCATGTAATTGCAATCCTTTTATCAAATATATCTTATACCCGATAATGATACTTAAATGTATCTAATATATATATTCATTAATGTATATATAATAATTAATAGATTTCTGCCCGTTCCTGCCCATTCCTGCTATAAATCGTCGAACCCCTAGTCACGGCATCGGTGATGTTTTCTGCACCAAATCGCATATTTCCAGATAGGATGTGGCATATAGAAGTAAATAACTTCAAGAAATGTGATATTTCACAGTAATAAAGAAGTATTTGGTTCATAACTGGGTCGTATGGGGTAGTATTGGTGGTATTGGGTGGTATTGGGTAATTAGACGCACCAACTTCAGCTAATCCTATTTTCCGTTGTGGTGGTCTCCCCTATACTTCCGGTCAAAATCCCTTTGTCGGTTTTGGCTGTGAATGGGATCTTTTTCAGGTTGAAATTGTGTCCCCTGTTCCTTCTATACAACTGTGTATATCAGAGGTATGTTTCATAATCCATGCTATAGTAACATTAGACTAATGGTATTTTGATTGTGGAAAAAGTTTTTCTCGTCTATGTCAGAAAAATTACCAGTCGGGAATATTATCGATCGACATGATCAGTGATGATCGTTTGTTTCTAAACCTTCAGTAGTAGATCTATAGCGTGAGTGTCCGCTGGCCCCGACACCAGACATTTTGACATATGGATATTTGGTGTGAGTTCCTCTGGCTCTGACATGATATATATCTGGTGTGGGTTCCTCTGGCCCTTACATTGGTACAGTACCAGACTTTGACATTTTGACAGATAGTCTATTAGATGTCTGACATCTATCTGGTGTCAGGACCAGATGAAACTCGGGCTAGTATAGATATATACAGCCAAGCGTGCAGTTCTTTTTTATTTGATTTTCCTCCCTTACAGTATAAGTAAACATGGTATATCAAAAATATTCCATTTCCACCTGCAATCATTTTCTTATGACTGTATACAGATAATACAATAACATATGTAAAAGATGTGGATTGATTAGGTTGCCTTACAAGTGTCAGCTGTAGGGAATTTCCCTTTAGCTTAGCGGTACAGCATCGGGCTGGAGAGCCAAGGGTCGCGGGTTCGAGACCCAGCGACGGCACTATCTTGATCACTTTTCCTCATCCTAGTAGGACTCCTATTACAAATTGGTGCCATTGACCCTCCCTTTTCAAGGTAGGAGAACCATTGGCGGCGAGTCAAATAACCTGGGCTGGTGTTTGAAAAAAGGGGGGAATAGTGTAAAAGATGTGGATTAATTAGGTTGCCTTACAAGCGTCAGCTGTAGGGAATTTCCCTTTAGCTTAGTGGTAGAGCATCAGGCTGGAGAGCCAAGGGTCGCGGGTTCTAGACCTAGCGACGGCACTATCTTGATCACATTTCCTCAGTTTACCTCATGATAGTATGTTCTAATATGGCTGTCTGTGAGCAAAAATGTGACCGTAGAAAATGACAGTAGCGCTAGAAACAGCCCATCAACTGCTCATATCACTTCTACAGCTAGCATTTATAACTAACACTCATACTATAGCTATTCTAATGTCATACATTCTTTTAAAAAATCTGTCTGATATGTAGTCAATAACCAATCTCTCCTACACTTTCACTGTGGTCAAAGTAAAGTGCCTACAGTCAAGATTAAGCCATTTCCACTGATCAAGTTCTAGGCATTTCGGTACCAGGTAGTTTCGTTACCCAAGAAAAGGATGTTTCAGTTCTTTTTTGTAAAAAATTAGTAACACACAGGACATAAAACGCAAGTAAAGTGCAAAGTTGAAATGTTGACTAGTAAAAGTGCTAAAAAAGTTTTTAAAAAAATAAAAAATTGAAAGGATTTTGTGGAAGTACCAAAATTAAACATCCTACACAAGAACCGAAACATCTTGGTGAAGAAACGACGTCAACCAAGTACTAAAACGTCTGTACCCCTGTCCACTGTACATGTGGGGTAAGGTTGATGTTGTGCCTGTATAATTTACCCAACATATATATAGCTCTCAAGTTTATCGAAACACAGAATCGCCAACCACTTCATCTGGATTAAAAAATAGATTTTACAATTCTATACAGTATTATAACATTGAAAAGCATTTGATAATTACATGCGCTTTTGTAACGTTATTGATTAGATTACCTTTATTTGTAACTGAATTAATTCTGTAATTAATTGCAATTTACATTCAGTTACAAGACAAAATGTATTTAATTCCCAGTTTCGAACGCTTTATACCTGAATTATTTAAACAGGTAACAGACTTTTCACCATTCCCACGTTTCAGAACTGAGGTGTTTCAGTATCTTGTACATGTATTTATAAGACATTTCAGTACTTCCAAAAATTTGTTTGGATATTTTATAAGATTTTTGGCATATGCTCTAGAAGTTTCTTTTCTGTTTGTGTATTGAACTCATGATTTAAAACAACAAAAGATACATACAGAAGTGTATGTTAAGTTGAGCAGAACTAGACTAGGTCAATAGTCGGCAACCAAGTTAAATTGGTAGAGTATCTGTCTAGAGTTCGGAGGGCATCAGGTTTGAACCCCGGTCTGGCCGTGCATTTTTTGTCCTTATTACATTTGGCACCAAGGTATAGGGTCTCTTGTGTCTTCGGGCCCCCCAGGGTCGAAGACTTTGTTCAAGGAGGGAGGGATATAATGTAGCAGAACTTGATTGGGTCGATTGTCGGCGACCAGGTATCTCAATTGTTATAGTGTCCGACTAGGGTTGGGAGGGTTCCGGGTTCAAACCCCAGTCTGGCCGTGCATTTTTCCGATTTCTATTACATAGAAACTGGTAAGGGGGAGCAGCAGTCATAACCTGTTCCTCAGCTTTGCCAATAATGATGTTGTTGTTAATCAACTTTTCCCTAAAGGCAAGCCATACTTACTACCACATCAACAGCCAGTGGGCCCACATGTAGTTATTAAAGGGCACCCCCATAGTCATCACTGCCTATCAGTCCGTCTGTCTGCACTTTAAGATTGCATTGGTTTCTTGAGATTAAATATCTCAGAATCTAAAATGGTGATATACTGTGATATATGCATTGATTACATAACTGACCCATTTTACTATGTCATATGGCCATGCCATACATATGGTATTACACATGTGTAATAAATTAAAGCCTTAAGGTGTTGTGATTAGTTAAAACCTTGGAAACATATATAGTCCTACGCCGGCACTAAAGGTACTTCTTTTATATACTATATCACATCATACATTTACTGTTATTTTAAAATGAATGTGAAATGTTTATTTTGTTATAATTATTTTAATTGCTTTAAAAACTGTTTAATTTAAAAAAAAAATCTGGAACTAAGCGGAATGACAATACAATGATGGGAGTACTTTGGTTTTATTTATATAAAGTCAGCTGAGAACACATCATTTTGTTTGATTTTTTTTCAAATTATGAATGTTATGGGATAAATAGAATAACCTAGCAGGTCGTGTCATATCAAATTATTGAACTCCTTTGATAAATTCAATATGACATGGACATTCATGTAAGATCCTCTATACATTTGCAATAGGGGTGAAACAGTTTCTAAAGCCAGGGTCATTGTTACTAAAAATACCCCATGAGGTTTATTGTTACTAAAAATACCCCATGATGGTCATTGCTACTAAAAATACCCCATGAGATTATTATTTTTATCTTGGAATCAAAATCGAAATTGTCAAAATACTCTGTTTCAAATATTTGACAAAGTGATAAAATGTGGTATTTTAAATGTGCGATAGCTAGGGGTTTAAAATATAATGTTCGTAAGATTTGTCAAAGTCACTGTTACTAAAAATAGATCATAAAGGATAAGGACAGGCATGTGGTAGGGGTCTGGTTAATGACCTCTCAGTGTTTTGACTCTTTTTACTACTTTTCCTTGAAAGAATTGAATAACCACATATGCTTGTGTTTTTTTACCACACATAATAAAAAGTGTTCTCCGATTGTGTTACAAACAACTCCTTTGATATTTTACATCCCTCGACACCTGTATTTTTATGACCTTTTCTTGTCATTATCGCAAATCATGAAAACTGAATAAACAAATGGTATTAAAATATCCTGTTTTGTTGAAAATAAGCTGGACTTGTCAAGTTGTTCAAATATGTTGTTCTCTTTTTATTAACTGAAAAGTGCGACGTTCATAGCATGTCAAGGTTATTGATTACACATTTATAGCACATTTAGTTTGAAAACCATGAAATGGCACTTTATCTAGAGTTTAAAGTTAGGTCATGCAACTTTAGTTTTCACATTTATATTCAGTTTAAATAGGTTACTTGGGCATTTTACTAGGATTTTTGTAGTTTCAAATGACTACAACTATTCTCAAGTGAGACTGGCATGCCCTTTTTAATAAAAACCAGCCAGCAAGAGAGTAATTATGATTTGAATAGCCTATAGGTATATCATTAACTCATTCACACCTAAATGCACATTTGAACCCTTCCAATTCAAAGGTTGGAAGAGTTCATTATAAAATTTCAGAGGTGAATGAGTTGATCATTCCTACATGTTTTTTCTTTGTATACAGTAGTCTCCCCTTAATTTCATTTTTGATAACTGTAGCAGGGTTTGGCCATGCCACAGAACTATCATTTATCAAAAAGCTAAGTTAGAGCAACAAGATTCCAACCTGAATTTGGCCTTGCTGAGTGTTCACACGCTGGTTCATTATATTTTGTTTTATTTCATCTTTATTGTTTTTCCTATGAAGTCCCACAAGGTATTTTTTCTCGCCAGAAGTGATTTATCAAAGCTAAACTCTTGCTGGAAACATAATTTTTCTTATGCATAGGAATTAATTTTGGTAGTGGTACAGGAATCATTAATCTTAGGATGACCGTTTCACCCCTAAAATCACATTAAAACGTTACGAAATCAAAGTCTGGGCAAGTCTAGTTTAAATATGTAGGGGTGAATGATTTAACAGAGACCACTTCACATATTTCCTATTGGTTGATGCTTGATAATGAGCCCTTTTTGCACCGATTCATTCAAATCAATTGTGCATGCATGTACAATAACGCTACAGTAAGGCTGTTGATATTTTCAGGTCAGACGGGTAACGGCAATTTTGGTTTGTATGAAGCAATTAATATTGTCAGGTCAGACAGGTAGCCCCAATATTATCAGGTCAGATAGGTGACCCCAAAATTGGTTTATATCAAGCAATTAATATTGTCACTCACTCAGGTCAGACAGGTAACCCAATATTGGTTTGTATAAGGCTGTTAATATTGTCGGGTCAGAACGGTTATCTATATATTGGTTTGTATGAGGCTGTTAATGTTGTCGAGTCGGAACGGGTGTCGGTTTATATATGAGGCTGTTAATATTGTCGGGTCAGAACGGTTATCTTTATATTGGTTTGTATGAGGCTGTTAATATTGTCGGATCAGAACGGTTATCTATATATTGGTTTATATGAGGCTGTTAATATTGTCGGGTCAGAACGGTTATCTATATATTGGTTTGTATAAGGCTGTTAATATTGTCGGGTCAGAACGGTAACCCAATATTAGTTTGTATAAGGCTGTAAATGTTGTCGGGTCAGACAGGTAACACCAATATTGGTTTGTGTGAGACTGTTATATTGTAAGTTCAGACAGTTTACCCCAATATTGGTTTGTATAATACTTTTGATATTGTCAGGTCAGTCAGGTAACTCCAATGTTGGTTTCTATAAGGCTGTAAATATTGTCAGGTCAGACAGGTTACCTCAATATTGGTTTGACATTGCTGGTTGCTCTACTCATTTGAGCACTTAAGAACAACAAAAATAGATAAATAAAATAAGAACAATATCACACAAAAAGGCGAAGAGAATGCTGATTAGACCAAAACAAAATTGATTTGTAATGGTAATTGTAAGTCCATTGATATGATGCACCCCACAGGTACTAGATTCGTCTGTCGATACACCTATTTTATCGTTGACAGACGAGTCTAGTACCTGTTGGTCTGCGCTTTGCTTGTACGAACTATATATATAAAAACAGTTAATGAAACTTTGATCGGGTTAATTATAAATTAAATCTATTGAGAAACCTTACACTTGCATTGCCTTAAAGTACCTATGTTACCTTTATTTTCACCAAAATCGAAATATTTTCCACTTCAAGAAAAAACGTACTGGCAGACAAAAGACGGCAACAACCTTTAGGGTTCTCAAACGTAACCCCCCAGAACGATAATAAGAAACAGATAGTTTTTGTTATCAAGAACGGTTTTTTAAAAGAAAGAAAAAAACAGCATTTCATAACTTTGCAAAATGTACGTTAAGTTACTGGCAATTGAAAACAATAAACAATTAAACCCCAAACTAACACATCAAATCATGTGTTATGTTTGTTTATTATGAACATCTTTCATAAACAACCCTTCTCCTCGTGAAGAACAATATATATGTCCGCCTGAAATGATCTCAAGATTAAAATTACATCTGCAACATCATAAAGAATTCAAAAAGCAAGCAAATAAAATGTCCATCAGAACAGCCACGATATCAAAAAGGTTCTATCAAACTTCAAAGACCCTTGCCCAACATTTTTACTTGTGGACAGTTGAGTAGATCACGTTGGTTGAGGTTTGGGTTACCCAATCACTTGCTTGATCCTTACGTTTCCTGCCGGTTAAAACTCTTCCTCCTTATAATTTTTCAACAGCCAACTCTCCCCCTCTCTAGAAAAAAGAATATATATATATATAAGCGGTAAAGAGTTTTAAACTTCCATGTGATGGTAAAAATGCATATGAAACAAAACACGAGACTAAATTTCGCTAGCGCTTTCGACCATCTTTTGGCTCTTCAGACTTTAGCTAAATTGCCTAATGGTTCTCAGATGTTAGCATCATTGTCCAATTGTTTTGGTTTGTTAACGTGCAATACTTATTTATTGAAATGTCATTTCATCTAAGTTTTATATATAAATTTACCTATCCAGTGTGAAGAGTATCCTTGATGAGATGAAAGCCCTAATAACATGTTGTTGATCTTTTTTTTTTTTACTTTTTTAGTATTAGTTTTTCTTAGTCCGTAAGGATACATTTCCTGTTGTTATGATATTTATATATAATTTAATCTTACTTGTAACAAGCATTTTCATTGGCTTAAAAAATTATGTTATCGGCCCATAACGTAAAAAATTGACCTCTTCGTTTGTAACGTCGCTTTTGATTGGCTGATACAGCAGCGCAATAATTTCTAAGAGAAAAGAGCCCATCAATAAAAGCGGATTTCCACAGCGATTGTGTATAGTAGATTAAATTATAAGGATTAACTTGAAAACAAAAAACCGGAGTGTACTCTCTACTTTAGAGTACACTCCGTTTTTATGTGTTATATCTCCATACCATGAAAAATATATTCAAGTTAATCCTTAAATAGAAAGAACGAAAGAAATAATAAATAAATAAATAAAACATCATCCGCCTCATCATAGTCAACTGCTATAAAACACTTTACTTGAAAAGGCTGTGTATAGGCAAACTTATGTTCCTTCCCTCAACCATCCACCCCTACCTTACTTTTCTTGCTGGTGGATACAGGTTTCCTTTTCCCCCCACCAGTTCTGCTCCATTCCTAACTTGAGCATAAACATATTATATCTACTTACTTTGTCTATATAATGATCGGTTCAAGGTGGGTCATTTCCTATTAGAATGAAAACAAAGAACCACAAATATAATCCCAAAATAAGATATCCTGGACATACTCTTATTCTAGTTTTTAAGGGTCTCCATTTAAACATATCCTCTTTTGCTTGTATTTACCCTGGCTTCATATGTTTTGATTTTTAATTGCGGTATTTTTCTCTTTTGTATGCCAAACTTGTTATAAACAAGCGTGTAGAATGGGTTTGTTGGAGATTAGAAATACAAGTATGTTTATTTCTACGAGGATTTCCATTAAATGTTTAAGTGAATATTTTTCCAATTGCAGGCTTTGGTTTGCCTCAATAATGGCCGAGCTACCGACTACCGTTGCATGATCGAACATCTACACCTAAAAGGCATGATTAAACCCTTACCCTTATTTGAGTGTGGTTCTGTAAGTCCTACAGTACTGCTATAGTTACATATCTTTCAAGGATTGTCGTGACTCTACTGAGTTTAATACAACCATATCTGTTAGGCGTAAGATGGAACTAGATGATCAACATGAGATGGAGGATATGTATATAAGTACATTAGTCGAGCAGGAGGAAAGTTCAACAGAACAAGAATGGATGGATCATGCCAGCATATCTCCTGCACACGAGGAAGACGACGACGCCATTAATTTGTCATCTGATGTAGACAAATGCCAATCATCACTTCAAATTGAAACAGATAACCAATTTGGATGTGATTTCTGTGGGAAAAAATATGATATGATGGAAGACCTACAAATACATTTACAAATACATAATGATCGCTCGCTCTACAACTGTGAGGTATGTGAAAGAGAATTTAGTCATCCCCAAAGTCTACTTAAGCACCTCAGAGTACACACAGGAGAAAAGCCGTTTAACTGCTTCGTTTGTGGTAAGGGTTTCGGTCTATCTGGTGATTATCAGAGACATATGAGAATCCATACTGGCGAAAAACCGTTCAAGTGTGAAGTTTGTGGGAAAGCATTTTGTCAGAAAGGGGACTTACAGAGGCACACGCGAATCCATACTGGAGATAAACCGTACCAATGTAATGTGTGTGGAAATGAGTTTGCTCAAATAGGACATCTGCACGTGCACTACCGTAGACACACGGGTGAAAGGCCATACATGTGCGATGTATGTGAAAAAGTGTTTTTTGTCAGAGAACACTTGCAAAACCATATCAGGACACATACAGGAGAAAAACCTTACAAATGTGGGGTATGTGGAAAGGGTTTTGCTGTGAATGGTACATTACAGATCCATCTAAGGACGCATACTGGAGAACGACCGTACACGTGTGATATTTGTGGAAAGGGATTTAGTGCCGGTGGCAGTTTACAGGCCCACCTCCGGGTACACCGTGGGGAAAAGCCGTATGAATGTGAAGTCTGTCAAAAAACATTTACACAAATAGGAAACCTACAGCGACATCGTAGGGTTCACACGGGAGAAAAGCCGTTCAAATGTGACATCTGTGGTAAAGGTCTCAGTGAAAATAAAAGTTTACAAGCCCATCTCAGGATGCATGCGAGACTACAGTCGAAAGAACAAATGGCAGCTCCTGAAATTTGTGATAGTTACATAGAAAGTTATCCCGGTAAAGCAGAGAAAAGAAGCGTTGTATCACCAAATGAAACAAAGAAGTAACGAAGGAAGTATTCAGGATTTTTAACTGAACATCGTTTTACATGAACATTTTTTATAAAGTAACTATCATTTTCAGTGCGACATAACTAGTGAGGATTTCTCGAGCAAGTAATCTCATTTTGAAAGTGTTTTGCCTAATTGCATATATTATTGTACAAATTTTACAAAAATGAACAAACACATTTTGATGTTATTCGGTTTCTGCTGTTTTCTAGAATTTTTGATCAGACGTCATTTATAAAAGCCGTGATTGGAACGGGTTTATACGGAATACTGTATACCCTGATATTTTCGCCTTTTTCTCCCATTGTAATGAGGGCGAATTTATCATAACAGCATTACAGCGAACATCTGTGAAAAACATATATACATAGTGATTAAATGTGCAGGGCAACATTTCTTATTTGGCGAAAATTAATTTTACCGTCGAAAGGCGAAATTTTCCCTTTATTAAAACTAGCCTTTTAATTTCCTGGATTTATACCTATGTTTTGTCGTTTTAAAGGTAATTGTTTGAAGATATAGGTATATTGAACTCAGCATCATTTAGATTGGGGTATACCTCACGCGTAACGGGTAGTTCACGTTTTTATTGACCGGAATATCATAAAAGCTATTTATTTGAACAAGTTTTCATCGCAATTTTGGCGTCAGTATGCTAATTTTTGTGTCGCCTGCAACGCGAGGTAGGGTATTACACTGTCGGCGTCGTCGTCGGTTCCGTCGTCCTAAACAAGGTTTCCGTGCGATAACTTGAGTTCCCTTGGGTTGCTTGAACTCAAACTTGGTACACATATTTCATACCAATGTACTTCGGACTGATTTGCATTTCAGAAGTTTACGTGTATTTTTGGTGGAGTTTTGCCCCTTCTATTGCCAAATAAGGGCATAATGTAGTGAATGCAAGATTTTTTTAATCAATTCCTTTCAAATTTTGTACGGTCATGCTAGAAGCAATAATATTCAACACATCTTACGGGGTTTTCTGTCGAGTTTCAACTTTCCGCGTTTTGACATATCTGTTTACGCGATAACTCGAGCCAAAACACGTTTCTTACTAAAAGCGCTGAGCAGGCGACACATACACTCCCGCGGAATTCTTGTCATATCCCAGCTTAAGCTAAATTGCCCAATGGTTTTTAAAAGTGAACATCAGTATCTAATTATTTTACTTTGTTTACTTTCAATACTGATTTATTAAAATGCTGTTTCATGCAAGTTTTATTTCAGCAATTTAACTTTCGAAATATTGACACACAAAAAATCGAAATTTGTAGATAATCTTGAATGTCAAATTTTAGCATTAGATGTTCTTCAGAAGTAAAGCATAGCGTGGCCTTAAAATCACCCAAGCATTAAGAAAAATAATCTCATTAAACAACGTTAAATGATGGTTCAAAGTAATTTGTGGTGGTACAGTAGATTTTAGAACATGTCCAACAATTTGTAATTGAAGGGTTTATTATTTTGGGCTAGCTGTATTTTACGATAAATTTCGGCCTAATTCATAAATTGATTTTAAGACTCATATTTGGCAATTCAAATACGAAAATATTCATTCAACATGATATATATATACAGACTGAAAAAGTTGCTCTAATATTCAATAGTATTTAGGATAACTGGAATACGTACTATACCGTTTCTGATGTACAGTATCTCAAATATTTACTCTAGGATAAACAACTTTTATGACGAACTTAAACATATTCAGCATATGCTCATATCTACAGTTAGCAGTAACAAGTGAATTTTAAAGTTTTCAAAATTTAGCCCTTTAATAAAAAAAAAAGCTTTAATAATGTAAGGCTGTTTATATAACAAAGAATCGCACTATTACTGATCGACATGATCGGCGTATTAGATATTTATTGTGAATCTCGGTCATATTCTCTTCCACCAATAATTGAAATAAATGATCTCTGTTTAATACGTGTTGACAATAAACCTGGTAGTGATTAACCATATCATGCCCGTGCCCCGTGTATCCTTACACCTGTTCATGTAACTAAATGACATGTACATGTACTGTGGAAATATTTGTTCTACCATTTTTGCCCATCGTTATGAGTAAAATGTATTGCAGAAAACTATTGTCAATGAAATGCATATATACTGACACGCAAAAGAAACGCGATTCCCCTTAAATATCAATGTTTTTTATAATATTAATAAACTAGTATTAGCCGTGTTGAATAGCATGGTACCATACATGTTCACCGCCAATTCACGGTTGATTGAACTGTCATGCTACGTGTTTTCGTCTTCAATACACACAAATGTAGCCCGATTAGCACTTACACCGATACACGTGGCCGCAGACCTGTTTATCATTCATCAGGTATCGAGTAAGAATAGTCCGGTTGATGATACCGTCAAAATGCCGAGACTAACTAACGATACACGCAACAGGGCAGTACTGAATGTCCACAAACGCACAGTATGTTTTTACAGCCGTCTTAGACTAATTGGTATAACTACCGACCACCATAGAGCTGGCCGACCGAAGGCTACGACGCCTGGTCGGGATCGGTTCATGCGGGTGCAGCCCTTGTCCCTTAACCGTCATCGATGTGACATCAGTCTCCGACGATTCACGGTTCATACTTTACCGCTCAGATGGGCGTCAACGTGTTAGTCGACGTCGTGGTGAACGTTATGACGATAACTGGATGGTGGAACGCGACAGGTGTGGTGGTGGCAGCGTTATGGTAAGTGGTGGGATCTGTAGTGGACGCAAAACCCCCGTAGTCGTCATTGAAGGTAATGACAGCTCAACGGCACATTGACATATTCTACAACATGTCGTCGTGCCGTTTGTCCGCCAACATAACATAATCTTTCAACAAGAAAATGCTCGGTGCCATGTGGCGAGACGTACCATGGACTATCTTCGCCAAAACAATGTCGACACGTTACCTTGGCCCCGATACAGTCCCAATATCTCGCCAATTATGGTAGTCTTAATGAAAAATAAATGTTCTTTCGTAAGGTGATGTCATTAATTATTTTAAACAATTCTGTATATAGATTTTCCAGAGAGATGACAATTTTAAATTGCTGGAATTTCCTGATTAACGTGAAAATTGAACCACTATCATCTGACAGTATTACAGTTATACACGAATATCATTAACTTTACTTATTTCAATCTTTAAGAAAGACAGGTTTTTAGCTAAGGC